CAGCTACCCTGAACTGAGAAACTCTTCTCCTATCTGTTAATGGTATGATTGGAACTGGAACCTGTTAATTTTGGGTTCAGGTCAGCAGCGATCCTCGGATTTGACCTTTAGCCCCCCCCCTGAGGAAATACAAGACCTATTTATCCCCCTAAGAAACATATCTTTGCATTTAAATTATCAAATTGTGCCCCCCCCCCCCCCCAGTATCAAACTGTCTCCTACGGCCCTGCGCCTATGGTTGGGTCTACAGCGTCAGGCAGGGAGTGTTGAACAGCACTGAAACCGCTGCTGGTAACCTGTTACTGGCTTGTAACGGCAGACATGGCTCTAGGACACCTGGGATGGCTGGGATCCCTGCATGATCCATCAGCAGCCTGGCCACAAGTCGGGGCAGATCAGGTTAGCGGGTTAAGTGGGAGTTAACTCAGCACGACAGCCTGCGCATTTGGGATCAGAGCGTGCCGACGCAGAAAAGCAGCTTTGAAGCTCCGATTTGTCTTCAGCTGTGTATTTTAAGACCTATGGGATTTCGACATTTTCAGTATATATGAAACGCCCTAACAGATGGCCTGTAAAAATGGAATAGATGCCAAACAAAATCCACCAATAGACCGATCGAAGGGGCATGGTAAAAGCACCCACTGGCATCAAAGTGGGGTGTCGATGGAGGGGGGGCTGTGCCCATTACCTGGGTAACCTTCTCTGTGACGTGGTGCGTGCGGTCGATTAGCTTGCAGGGAGCGATGATGTCCTTGTCCCCAGGAGGTAGGGCAATAAGGGGGTCCGGCTTGCACTCCACAAAGTTGAGGGTGATCTGTGGAATCTTGCTGATGGTCCGGTAGCGCATGAGGTCCGAGTCCGAGGTAGAGTTGAGGATGTTTGATTTGTTGTTCACTGCGCCTGTGTGGACATCACCAGCAGAGGGGGGGGGGGGTGCTTGAAAAGCAGAGTCACATGGTGTCTGTCAGTCCTGCCTCATCACAGCTACAGGCCTTACTGGTCTCAAGGCAAGATCCGTAATGGAATATCTTAGTCAAAACTACGGAGCTTTGCAATCAGATTCAAATGGGATTTCAGGTAGAAAAGCTAAGCCCTTTCTGCATAACTCACCTGAACATCTACAGCAAGGGTCTCCAACTTCGGTCCTGGAGAGCTATTATCCAGTAGGTTTTTTATCATTCCATCTGGCTTCCGATGAGCCACACCTGTTCCTGGTATTTATGTGAGAACAGGTGCCGCTCATCAGAAGGCAGGTACGATAGAAAACCGACTGGACAGTAGCTCTCCAGGACTGGAGTGGGAGACTACTGTAGCTTTACTTTGTTTGTAAATTGTACCAGATCGTTACATCAGTAAAGGGGCCTCCCTGTATGCTGTACGAATCTCTTGCTGGCCTTTTGATGCCAGGATAATGGCTACTGATGCCCAAATGAAGCTTCAGGAGCCACTTGCTGTATTTTCTGACTCCACTAGATGGTGCTCTCTGTTTAAAAAGGGGCTCAAAGGAAGCCAAGAGCACCATCTAGTGGGGTCAAAAAATACAGCAAATGGTTCATGAAGCTTCATTTGACCATCACTAATAATGGCCTCTGGACCACACAGGATTAACAGGAAAGGGCGGGGCTTACCTGTGCTACCAGAGCGGACCTTGCGCTCCCACTCGGGCCTCATGGCCTCGATGTCGTCAACGGAGGAGGCGCGCCGCATGCTGTGGAAGCTCTCCCGCGAGCGGCTTTGAGTCAGGCTGCAGTTGGACACGGAAGCGTCTGGGTCGAGGTGGTGTGGATGCACGGGGAAGTCGGCAGCCGGTGGCGGTGGTGGTGTTGGGGGCTGGCTCTCCAGCAGTGCCCTCCGGCCCGCCGGCTCGGGCAGGGAGATGAGCTCGTCCAGCATCAGGGAGTCCCGGCTGGGGTGGGAGGCCCTTGGCACACAAGCTGCCTCGGGGTCGTCCTGGAGGGACTGCCTGCTGTTGGCCAGGGAGCGCAGGAGCGGGAGGCGTACCCTGAAGCCACGAGAGCGGCCTGCGGAGAAAGGGAATCGGCACGCGAGGTGTGAAAACTTCTGAAAGATTCATGTGAAAGTACACTGCACTGGAACTGTACACTTTTGTGTTCCACTGTGTTCACCACTGGCCATTTCTGTAGAAGGGAATGACACAGGAGTAAACAGAACGCCATGCAAAGGCAAAACGCAGCATCAAACTGCATATTTCATCAAAACTGAGTTATGACTGAAATTGGGTCTCTTAGACTCTGTTTTGTCTATTTACCTACCTACTACACATATGGGAGGACAGTCAAAAACCTTTGCAGCCCTTTGCCCTGAGTTTCAGTGTCACTGTAGTTGCTGCATTTTGCCTCTGTGGGCCAGAGACGGAGAGACTGGCTGGGTTCCCACCTGCGGAGAGCCAAGGGATGGACAGCTTGTGGTTGAGCTCTCGGCTGGACTCGCTGCGCTTCTCCTCGCTCATGACCTCGAAATTCAGGATGAACATGATCACCATGCCATCCTCGTTCTTCACCGGGACCACATCCACCGTGCAGAGGAAGCACACGCCTGTGGGGGTGAGAGGCCACAGGACGGTCACGCATGTGGAAGCACAGGGAGGTACGCAAGCACAGGGGTGGTTCTCAGGAGGGGGGGGCAACCCTGTAGCCCCTCTAAATGCATATGCTATTTGGGTCTGAAATAAATATATTATTATTATGACTATTATTATTATTATTATTTGTATTTATATATGTGGGCTAAAAATGTGTGCACTGAACAGGAGAGACACATTTCTCGATGCACATTTCTCGATGGACTCAACGCAGGTGCGCCGGGCGGTCAAATCACTTCAGCTGGTGAAAAGCAAAGTTAATGACAGAAAAAATAACCAGGCCTGTGGAAGCAAGACAGTCTAAACAAGAAATCAGAGTGTGTTACATATTTCAACATAAACTGTAAAATGTGACTACAAAGCATTGCATAAGTAACATAGGTTTTTCACAATTGTCTCTCGCTTCTTAATGCTGGCAATATAGTGTAAGTAATACTTGGAGCACATTAAGGTCAAATGCATTTGCCCCCCCCCCCCCCTAACAGCACAATGGGCCCTGGTCTGGCCCCCACTGTTGTAATTGTCTGTAAGGACATTAGCATGGTGGGTTGTGGACACAGACTTGTGATTGAGGCACCAAGGAGGTGATGACACAGGCTTAGGGTGGAGGCACTAAGGAGGTGATGACACAGGCTTAGGGTGGAGGCAATAAGAAAGTGATGGTACAGATGTAGGGTGAAGGCACAAAGGAGGTGATGGCAGACACATCTTGGCAAACATGTTTAAGTTGAGCTGCCGCAATGAGATGCCCATCTGTACAAATGGAAAGAAACTCATAAGCTGTGTGGATGACGCAAAGGAAAAATAACACCAATAATTTTGCTTGTGTTTTCCATGGTTTTGCCTACACACATAAAATAAATCATTTTTTCATGAAAAATCATACGAGGCGAATCCAAAACACCACCAATGTCCCCAATCTGTAGCTCTCCTGGCTGTAAGGGATTAGCCAAAAACCCATTTTTATAATTATGTGACACTAATGTTGTTGCTCTCAATAAACAAAATGTACATAAACAACCATTTTCTTTGTGACGGCATTTATCCAAAACAAAAAAAAAAGTACCTAAAAAACATGAGCGTTGTAGCTTGTGCTGTTTGAAAAAAAATACTCTCTGCTAATGCTACTAGGGAGTTTTACTTACGGCAACCTAGGAAAGAAAGACCTCCAAAAATTGCAGGGTCATAAGCTCCCAGGATCTTGTGCATTTCAAACATAATCATGTCCATCGAATGCCCTTCCAACACAAAATAAATATTTCCGAAGCTCGCTTGCTAATCTATAAGAGGAAAACACCCAATTACAGTTTCTGGACATATCAGCCCCATTGTGGGGACTCTCCATTCCAACAGCTAAGCGTTCTACAGAAAGTGGTTTTACCTGAACACCATTTGGTACCTGGCCTCCCACTCCAGACCAATGCTTCTCACACAATCACACTTCTCAGTATCACCTTCACACCGTCATGTTCCAACAGACTATTGTTCCACTCTTCTGCTCTTGGGTTGAGTTCAGCAGTTCTTTTCCTCATACACTCATGTTCCTCGATACTGCTCTTAAACTGTCATGTTCCACTGTTCTTTGCTTGTGCATGGTCGTGTTCCTCTGTTATCCATGATATAACCACCACATCGCCAACCCCTGCCATCATAGGCTGGGGGAGGAGATTGAACTCATTTATAATCTCAGTAGGGAAAAAAAAGCACAAGTATAAGAGAGATTACAGGTCTTCCCATAACATTTGCCTCATTATGGGAATGTTCACTATCACCCTCAGTTATATTCTTATCATTGTGGGGACTCTCCATTCATTTCTATGGGCATAACCCTAAACCCAACCTAACCCTACCACTTTCTCAGCCCTACCCTTAACCATAAGTAAACAAAGAAAACACAAGACCTTTGGCTATTTTAGTTTTTGACTGCATTCACAGATTTTTATAAAGTTGAGGTTTACATTGTGGGGACCTGAAAAATGTTCCGACAAACTAAAAAGTAACAGTAAAAATAACATTTTATTAACACAATGCAGTAAATAATTGAGTAATAATTGAGTATCAGCTCGGTTCTGGTACCGCTTGTGTGCATTACTCTGATGAAATAATGCCACGTTCCTCTTTGACTGAGCGTCTGCATTTTTTTGAGATGGTGCAGAGCAGGGGAGGTACTTGTATGTTGCTGGCAGATTGCATGATCTAACATGAATTTTAATCCTTGTGATAGACTCTCACGGCTATACCACTCTCTCGTGTCCAGAACAAGGATTAGTATCCAACAAGAAAGGGATTTCAATTCAATTTATTACACTTTCTCATCCTTTTCCACTCGAAAAGTATAATCTGGACTGCCCGGTCAATCCCCCGTTTATTCTGAGCAATGACAAACACGTTTCTGTTTTCATGTCTCTGAAGTGGGGCTAAGCCAGAAAAGCTGATATACAATTAGGTCCATTTCTTGGCTGATGGAGAACCCAAGTTCTCCAGTGAAACATGCAAAAATAAATTCCGCCGAGTAGCTGTAACCTCGATCTTGCTTTTGTGGCTGGAATCTGCATCGTGTGGTCAGCTTGTCATTATAAATCTCTTTGATCAATTAAAAGAGTAAAAGAGGGGAAAAAACAATGCTATATTTTCAGCTTCTATTCTGACACACAGTACTACTAATTATTGCCAAACCACTGCGCTCAGTGGGAGACACACTGCATTATCAGCTCATTTAGCATGTGGAGACAACTGCTTTGCGTGTGGCCCTTTAAGTAACCGTTTGGGAAACGTCCCACTGTCAGCACTTCAAAAGGTCTCCCTTTGAACTAAAGCCTCCAGAGAAGGAAAAAACGGAATTAAATCTATGTGGCTGGTCTTTATGTAACTCAAATGACCATTAATTCTACATTGTATTTGCACTATTTTGCTGCTTAATGAGGCTCTGACTGTCGGGGTCAGTTCCATGGAGACACAGAGGCTCTACAAGTGACCTTAAACACAATTTATCCTTCAAGAGAAAAACACACATATTTTTACTGGGTTACAGGGGGCTAGAATCCCAGGGAAGGGTGGAAATGGGGCAATGTCTCAGGTAACCTATAGAAACGAGCCCATCCAATCACCAGATATTGATTTGCCAAAGGAACATGATCTAGAAAATGGGAAAACAATAGCAAAAGTAACAAATGAGGTTGAAGAACAGTAACAGCGCCTCCTGCTGAATGAATGTGAAAAGAGAGGACCATTTTCAGTATTCATTTGGAAACATATTGCTCTATCATATTAGTAATATAGGATTATAGCATAACCAACAGTTTTGTATCTCTATTATGAATAATTAAACCACCAAATTAACAAGGTGATAAATAAATATCAACAATTGTAAAGAATAATTTATTTCTGGCATTTCCTGGTGTTTGCATTACGCCCGTCTATACACTGCCTAGGCACCTATATCCCTACTTCCTCACATACTATATACCCTCATTGTTTTCCGACATGCTTATAGGAGTTTCCTAGCTACTTATTTATTCAAGTCCAGCAGGTGGTGCAATTTCTCAAACCACTTTCCATGCCCCCATCAGTCAAAGTACTTCAGAAGTGACGTTCTTGTATTCGTGAGCTGTGTCTGTAGAGGAAGCCAGCTTCCCCTCTTTATTTGTCAGAGGTACTTTTGATCGCTGCATTACGCTGTGATTCTTGCCACAGCCGCCGTGAGAGGTGTGTTAGCCTGTCTGTTGGTCCGTCATGTTCATATTGGGCTCACGCTGTCCCATATCTACAGTCCCACTGTTCAAAAAGGTATTAAAAACAAAAGCATGGTAATTAATCAAAAACACGTTCGTATGAATAACCTCTCCACCGTAAACCTCTCCACAGCCGCGCCCAGCCAAACCGTGCTGATCCGGTACCACATTCTGAGATTAAAGTGAGTATAACAGCTAGGAGAAGCTGTGTGAGATACTGACTCTGCTTGTTGCTGAAATGTGTGGATAGGTGCACTCCTCTGCTGCTGATCCGATCCGTGGTCTTTATTCAAAATTTCAGTTAATTACCCGCTATATTAGCGCCCTGCCGTGGGTTGTTCCCTACCTTGTGCCTGTAACTTCTGGGAAAGGCTCCGGACCCCCACAACCATGCACAGGACGCGACATGGCCATCGATAGGATAGTCCGATCACTTAGGGCTATAGCCCCGAGTATTTTAAGCCTAGCCCCTAGTTTTTTTTAACCCCCGGTGACAATCTTCCTTAAAAAAAAAATAACAAAAAAGTCAAGCCCGGGGCAAACTTGACTTAACCCCTGATCTTTTCAATAGCTTTTTAAAAAGTCCCGTGGGACCAGCAGATGTTAAAAATAGATGGATGGATAAATCCGCCATGTCTGCACTTGGATGTCAGACCATTGCTGTTACATATAAGTAACTATTAGGATGCTGGCTGATTCTGAAACCCAGGAGCTCTGCGATATTTTAACAGCTTATGTCTCTTATTTTTCTTTAAAATATTATGCTTAGACTGTCCTATCAAATACGTAATTAAATGTTGGACGTATAAGTATGAACAGATTTTTAAGTTGAAAATAAATTCATGTGGCTTTGCCCGCCAATAGGTGGCAGTATATGACAATAATTGGTTCTCCAGGCCTGAAAAAAATCATGCCTTCTTTTTAGGACCTGAATACCTTAAAAATAATGAGGTGGGCGAGTGGGCATCGAGCTTTACAGATGTGCTATGCAGCATAATGACACAAAGGATATTTCCAAAATAGGCAAATTTTAATAGTAATGATTATAAAAGGTGGATTCTGGCTGCCTGAAGCTTTAGCCCTACATTATGAAAGAACAGAGTTAGAGCCCCCCGCCCCGCGAAGAATGGGCCAGCTGATTAACAGCACAGGCCTGGAAACATCTCCCTTAGATTGTACGTACGAGTTACCCTGTTACCCTAAAACAGCGAGCCAGGGCATCC